CTGCAGGGCTTTGGGGATCTTCGGTTCCTCTGGGATATTCTTTGACCCCCTGGATTCTTGTCACTTAAGCTCCATCTCAGGGAATTTTAACTTTTCTAAGCCCAAATACATAAAATGTTTTATTTTTCCGTGGTGTTTTGCCTTCCTTCCAAATTACTAAGCGCGTGGTTCTTTAAAATGTTTTACATGCCTGAGCCCCAGTTCCTCGGCCTTTCCACCCTCAATTCAACAGAAGACTTCCAGACATTTTCTTTTTTAAACGTCAGAGGAAATCTCAATCACAGGTGTTGCATGTCTCGTATTTGGATGAGATACTGAAGATTTAAACTCATTTTCGGGGTGGCCAAACAGCGTCGCTGCGCGTGTGATCATTGCGTTACGATGTCCTCAGTGGCTTTAGAGTAATGCTCCAAAGGCCATCCAAGTCCTTGGAGACTCCTCACCCACCACCTTGTTCAGTTGGTGAGGAAGCTGCTTGGAAAAGTTCATCTTCCTCATCTTACTTCCTAGATCCTGGTCTGTGGGCTGTCCTGCCCCTTTATGCCTGGTTCCAAGGGTGGGTGTGGCATAGGGCTGTGACTGACTGAAGGGACAGGTGTGAGTCCGAGAGTGACTCCAAAGAGCAGTGAAAGAGCTTTAACAGGCCCAGATGGTTGCAGACAGGGAGCCCTTAGTGTGGGGGCAATGAGAAGCTCGAGACTTAGGAATCAGTGAGCCGAAGACCTCAAACCCAAGGGCCAACTGTGCTCTCATTTCCTCTACATGGTTACTTCTCTGGGTTTTGGGTTTGACTCTGTGCGTTTGCTATGGTCATAACGACTTCAGAGAGACTTCACTAAAACTGCTTAGAATCCGAATCCCACTTCCTTCCTTTCCTATTCACTGTTTTCCATTCCTCCTCTTCCATGCAATTAGCATGGGTAGGAGACAGTAGGGTGAGTATTCCTTTAGGTTAGGAGCGTGGCTTCCGTGTTGAAGAAAGAATTCCACAGCATGCGCTTTAACATGTATGTTTTTCATCTATGGCCCAGACGGCATGACGAGTATTATAGGCCAAAATGTTGCCAAACCCTGCTTTGTGATGCTTGGAAGAATATTTTATTATTATCTTTCAATTTTATGTATATATGGAGAGGAGGAAACTCTGAGCTTCACCATACAAAGGACCCCAGAGCCTCAAACCCATACTGGAATGGCAAAGCCTTCCCCCATCCAAGAGGCTAAGAGGGAAATGGCAAAGCCTTTTTCTTGGTTCATGTGTGGATGTTAATAGTATGTGTTGAAAATGTCCACCAAAGCCCCTGACAGAGACTACTCCTGATGACCCTGTCTTCTTCATGCCCTTGGATAGCATAACCCCCTCTCCTCATTTATCTGTATGTAATAACTCTGCCTCCGTGTTCAGCTATCTGCAATAACCATGTCTCTTTACTGAGCTTCTGTGAGCCATGGTTTCTCTAGTAGCTGGCTCAGACCATCTGACCCCAGCTTTCCGTATTTCCGTTGTCGGTCTGTCTGCCTTTTCTTTATTCCTGTCCCACCCAAGTCAGGTCCAAGTTCCTGCAGTCATGAATGGGTGTGGTTATGGGTGTTTTGCCTGCCTGTCTGCGTGTTTACCACGTGTGTACCTGGTGTAGGAAGAGGCCAGAAAAGGGGGTTAGATCTTCTGGAACTGGAGTTACAGACCGTTGTGAGCTACCATGTGGATGCTGGGAATTGAGCCCGGGTCCTCTGGAAAGATCAGTTTGTGCTTGTAACGGAGCCATCACTCCAGCCCTGTGAATATTTTCCTGAGCTGCCACGTGTGGAATTTGACTTCAGTTTTTTCCCCCTTGTCTCCTTGCATAATTCAGGGTGTTTCCTTGAACAGCTGAGTTGCTCAAGGGATTCAAGCTCTGCTCTTAGTCTTTGAAGGGCGCAGCGTGATGGTAGGTCAGCTTCGAAAGTCATCACAGCAGGAGCTACCTTTGTCTGACAATAGATATTGTCTAGTAAAAGTACTTCTAGAGCACACAACGCAGGGATTTTGGTTTGTAAAGCGTGCTCTTTCTTGTCATTGGCCACCTTTTGAACATAATGGGACACACATTGCGCCAGCTCCTCATCATCGATGGTTTTAGTTTAGTTTTGTCTTCAGTGTTTCTGACG